ATTGTTGTATCTTTCACTAATCAAGTTTATAGTTACTTTGTAATCCTATATTCTATAATGTTGTATATATCCTCAATCAAGTACTAGTTATTTATAATACCATAGTTGTATATTGTTGTATCTTTCACTAATCAAGTTTATAGTTACTTTGTAATCCTATATTCTATAATGCTGTATATATCCTCAATCAAGTACTAGTTATTTATAATACCATAGTTGTATATTGTTGTATCTTTCACTAATCAAGTTTATAGTTACTTTGTAATCCTATATTCTATAATGCTGTATATATCCTCAATCAAGTACTAGTTATTTATAATACCATAGTTGTATATTGTTGTGCGAATTTTTAATTTAATCAATAGTTGCATTGTAGTGCAACTTTGTTGTATCTATTCTTTATCAAATCAATAGTTAAGTATAGTTAAATAAATTAATAGGTTTAAACTTTAAAGAGACATTTAGAGTAGTATATTCACAAAACCTGAAAAAAACTAGCGACTGTAAAAATTAATTTTGGTTGGAGAGGTATAACTATAAGTAGTTGTATTTTAAATATATCACAAAGAGGTCTTCATACAAATATATTTTAAATAGGGTTTCAGATTTATAAAATAAAAGAATAATTATCAAATACAATCCAAACATAATTTAAAATTGAACTAAACCGGAAAGAGTGTTGAATTTGTTTTAAAACAGGGTAGACTGAAACGGACTAAATATGAACCCGAACCCATGTTTGAACTTAAACTTGAAGCTACGCCTAACTAGGCTACATCCAACTTCTCGAGTGACGTCAGTCTCAAATTTTATTCAAGGCGCTGGATAAAACATCTACAGTGTAATCAAACCTATTGGAGAAAGTCTTCATTGTCAAATATGAAAAAAGAAACTCACAGTTCGAAGTGCCAAATTACAGTGTCTGTACAGTACTGAAACCTCATTTCTTTAAATTGTTGACTGTGTAATACCCTGGTGATTTTAAAAAGAAATTTTTCGTGTAATAGTTCATTATATAACATATATAAATAAATAGATATATTTCAGATATTAATTATATAAACGTAGATTGAACACAAAATGATATATCACCTCCATATCAGCATCTTTGTCTTCATTACACATTTCGTTCACAAACTCTTCAAACTTCCCATAAGAAAATTTTGAATATTCACAATCTCGAATTGCACCTGGAAGCTTGAGATGAAAAATAGTTTCTGTTACATCAACTTTAATATTACATTCTACAACTTTGTTTTCATAATATTTAATTGTAGACCTATATTCACGTGTCAGGAATGATATAATTGTCCTAAACAGTACTATAAATACATTCAAATATGCTTCTCTTCTGTTTGTTTACAATCAACTTGATATGTTTATTTAGACATAAACAACTGCTCATAAACTGAAAGTAAACAATATTCTTGAAAGAAAGACAGAGAATTAAAAACATAACTAAAACAAGCAAAATAAAATGAAGTTAAAGTCACATCGTTCTAGATCTGTGAGTTATGTCTAAATATAACAATATGATGAAATATTCATTGATATTATGATATAGTCTGCAGAACAGAATGTTAACTGATTATGACAAGGCTCTAACCTTAAAGTTTGTTAAATATCGGTTACAAACTGAAAGTGTATTGTTAATATTCGTGACAAATTCAAGTTTTAAACGTTCTATGAATAATTTTCACGATGTAAAAGTAGAGAAAATTAAAAAAGTATTAAGATACTTTTCTATCGTAAATGAATACTGTCGTTTTAAACACACCCAATTCTTAGTTTTGTTTGTTTGTGTTTTAGCGCGAAGCCGCACAATATACTATCTACACTCTGTCCAGCTTGGGGAGTGGAGCCCTAGATTGTAAACATTGTAAGTCGGTAAACTTACCGCCGACACCCGGAACCTTGATTCTTAGAATTCTCTTTTAGAGAGTCAAAATAACCTTCAATATAAATGATATTTTAAATATAATTTATATATCAAGAGGGCCTTTACTGAAGACAAGATCGGTTGAAGTTAGTAGATTCACGTTAGCAACACATTGTTTCTAAAATGATATTGAATTAACGACATATGATTAATAATAATACCAGAAAAACACCTACCCATCCTGCTTGTTGTTGAAAACGTTCTCCTATGCACCTTCTCAGTTCATTCAATTTTTTAGGATCCTCTTTATTACCTGCATAAAAACAAAAACATGTTTGATCTACCTAATGGGAATAGATTTCACATGTTACAAACGTTCGTAAAAATACTTTATTAAATGTAAGGAGGTTATCTTATTTTCTCCTTATAATAGATTATACTAGATGTACTTCTGCAGGTTTCCTGAAGCGTCGATGAAAGTTTGTGAGGTGAAACATTATTCAAATATAACAAAAAGTTGTATAATAATAAAATGATATATTATTAATCTATAGATATGTTGTTGACGTCATTGTATATAAATTAGATACCCCGAAAGTGTTATGTTTCAAACGTAAATAAAACTCAAATAAAAGTACAAATGTGTTTATTTCTTGGTTCGTAGGGCATGCTGTATTTGTAGCCTACAGAGTGCACAATTCTATCGTAATTCATGGCATTCGTGCGTTTTACTGACGTCACTACAGTACAAATTGCAGCTTTGAATTTCCCTTACGTGACGTCATTTTAGTGTCTACTGACTTACTTACAGACAACTCACAACTGTATATTGGTGCGAGTGGTCATTCAAGAAGTTTACGTATAACCGAGATGAAAGATGTTTGTTGAAGTTTTCAAAACTGACTCTCAATCCCTGAGAACCATTGGAAATTACAACGGCCCGAACGAGACAATTTCAATCTTTGTCTTAAGTATCATAATACAGCTATGAATATTTTTAATAATATTTTGATGTAGTTTTCACATATTTTGTTTTCTCCTGATGAAGTATAGATACGAAAAGAGAACATTTAATTCTGAAAAACAATTACTTATACACCAATAAAGTTTGAAAATGAACTTACTACACATCAGATTCCACATCATTTTTACAGAGTTGCCTTTCGTCATCGCCAGGCTGACGAGCACAAGAAGAGCTGCAAATAAAACTTTCATGTTAAGAATGTTGCTGTTTTCATGAACATTTCAGCTTAAAAAAAACCTTTTTATATCATTCATCCAACAGCATTGATCCAATAATTTAAACTAATTTTTAATTATCCTGAAATGAACACAGCTTTGCTAGTATATTTACCAATCATTGCGTGATTCTTTCCGGATTGGGCAAATTGCGTTTGGTTACAACCAATAACGAAGTGATTATACCAAACACAGGCGCCGCCTACCATACTGTAGGATCACCTGACCCAAATCTGTTCGTCTGCAGTTTCAATCGTTGTGGAAACCTCACTCTGTTGTAGCACGTTATACGTATTACAGGTTGGAAGATACATCCACTGGAAGAAAATGAACACAGGTTAATATTGCGTTTAATTTAAAGCTCACGAATTACATAAAGGTTTGTTAAAATAGAACATCGCTGAAGTGTTTAGTGTGCAATTAGTAGCTTAAACTTCTAAACAACACAGAAATATATCAATAATGTGTAGCTCATAAAGTCGCAGAAATCTTCGAGCGTTTAGGTTTTCTTTGTATGTGTGTAAGCACTTTTCCCTATATATTTGTTAAAACACCAAAATGTCTGACATTAGTTTTCATACAAAAATATCTATCATTGCGCAGTAATATTATTTCCCTGGTAATTTACGGGCTTACAACGCTAACATCGGAGTTCAATACCCCGAGATGGACAGAGAGCCAGCCCAATGTGACCACGGCTGAAAGGGTGAGCATGTTTGGTGTGACAGAAAACTGACAACTATCTTTGAAAGTATAATCACTTCTAATCAAAGGTTCCAAAACTTAACAAAAACAATAAATAAACTACTAGTTCATAATCGTATGTTTCTGTATCTGACATTATGTACGAATTTGTTTGTTTTAAAGATGTATTCCATTTGGTTTGTTTTTAATTTCGCGTAAAGCTACTCGAGCTGCCATAGCCGTCCCTACTTTAGCAGTAATATACTAGAAGGTAGATAGATAGTCAATAACACCCACCGCCAACTCTTGGGCTACCTTTTTACCAACGAATAGTGGGATTCAGGTTCACTTTATAATGCCCCATGCTGAAAAGGCGAGCATGTTCAGTGCCGGTATTCGAACCCGCGACCCACAGATTACAAGTCGAGCGCCCTACCCACCTGGCAATGTCAGGCTTTTGAAGGAGTAAAATACACAATGGGTTATCTATGCTCTGCCCATCGTGGGTATCGAAACCCAATTTTTACCGTTATAACTTATAAGCTCTTACATTTACCGTTTAGCCATCGAGGGGACTATGTACAGATGTAGGTCTAACTGGACAACCATCTTTATGAGGCTTAGAAATCCCATACATGATAGCGGAATGAGATCCAATTGGTTATATTTTATGACATTTATTTTCTGTTAATAAACTTCATTTTCATCTTTGTAATTTATATTATTTAGTTTTAGTTGGATCTATATTCAGTTCAAAAATTTTAGTTCTATCACTTAAAAGTTATTTAACTCTGTTATTGTAATAACCAGTTTATTTTATATTTTTAGTGCAAAGTTACACAATGGGTCTTTAAAATTACTACTGCCTCACTGGGGGACCAGTTTGATTTAGAATAACAGAACTATTTCCTTTATCGGATTTTATATTCACTCATTTGTGATTAACCTGTAGATATTAGTAGGTTATCTTCCAGAGTTGTAGTTATTAAAGGATGTTAGAACTCTTCTGTTTCCTTGGATTCTTACGTTGTTACTTACAAACCTTTTTTCAATCCATGCCTTAGTATATATGTTATGACGTTATTATAGCGACGAAAATAACAGAATACATAACCTTTCTCGGAAGAACGTTTCTTCGACCTAAACTAACCATGTTGTAAATATATCGTATGCCTGTACGATTACGATGGATTGTTATTACTCTGTAATGTCTTTAACTAAGTGCTTACACAATTAAAGTATAGGATATCATATACAAAACCACAACAATATTTTTTATAAATATCAAGGATTATAAGAGTTCTCGGGAGACGTTTGTTTGTTTGTTTGTTTTTGAATTTCGCGATAAGCTACACGAGGGCTATCTGCGCTAGCCGTCCCTAATTTAGCAGTGTAAGACTAGAGGGAAGGCAGCTAGTCATCACCACCCACCGCCAACTCTTGGGCTACTCTTTTACCAACGAATAGTGGGATTGACCGTCACTTTATAACGCCCCCAAGGCTGAAAGGGCGAGCATGTTTGGTGTGACGGGGATTCGAACCCGCGACCCTCAGATTGCGAGTCGAATTCTCGGGAGACGTAAATCAGACTCGTAAATCTAACATAACAGTTACAAACATAAAGTGTGAAAACATTAATGACTTGTATTTAATTTTAAGTTAAACTATGTTGTTATTATTTTATCTAATGCTTGTCGGATTTAATGTCAGCATCAGTTAAAAATAATAGTAGTTTACATGCAAATTGATGAAAGTTTGTGAGGTGAAACATTATTGAAATGTAACAAAAATTTGCGAAATACAAGTTTGTGTCTAATATATGATTGATTATTTTCTAAATATGCTATTGAAGGTATCGTGTACAAATAACAAGTGCTCTACCTTCGTGCTTCATGCCCCCAGTGGCACAACGGTACGTCTGCGGACTTACAACGCTAGAATCCGGGTTTCGATACCCGTGGTGGTCAGAGCACAGATAGCCCTTGTGTAGCTTTGTGCTTAATTACAAACAAACAAACATCATGCTTCATAATATAATATTTTCGACAATGCTTTACATTTTCTGCAACGTTTTAATTTTTCTGGAACGATACATAATCTTAGGTTAATTTTCAAACTAGGTTTCGCGTTCTGTTTTTGAGCTTCTGTATAAAGTTTGATGTGTACAGCACGTGCCTACTCAGGGTAGAAGTACTTAATCCTCTTTCAAGTTACAACCAACATACGTTTCATGAGTCAGTGTACCATTTGTTAATATAACATAATAACAGGTTACAGATATTTCCATTTCATAGCTCGGTGGGTTTATTCTGCTTCGTGTATAGAAACTAGCGTTTAAATTAACTACAGTACCAACCACAGAACGTGAAGTCACATGCTGTTTGCTTTCACTATTCCCTTTACGTATATCACTTTGAATTCTATGACAGTTTATACGAATTATTATTGAATACGCATTTTCGGTTTGAAATAAGATACAAAAATGTAAGCTCTTAAGGTTGATTTAAAAGTCCAATACCAAACAAATAATTTATGGTGATATGGAATGACGCTTTGTGTCCTACCCTGTGACAATACCACAGAGGTCATACAAAGTCATCTTCTTCGAAACTTTTTCTAATACAGAAAAAATCAAATGCACATGAGGTGAAAATTGTTTTATTGAATAAAATGATGAATAAGAAACTAGACATGTCTTCTCAGATATAATGCATAGTGAACCTTGGTTTAAAGGGAGTTGTTTTCGTTGTAGCTGGCTTTTATCATTCTCCGGAGACAATATCTATTCTGTTTTACATGGTTGTAATGTAGACATAAGAATCCTACAATAGTTTATACTCCCTTATACTTAAATGAGAACGACCAGTTACATGTGTAACGCTAGTCGCTCCGAGTAAATCTAACGTTATCTGTTAAGTAAGAAACATTAAAGTGTCTGATAGCAGTTTAGATGTAGTACAGTTTGGTGAGAGAACTGTTCTTATCCAATAAAAGCGCCAGTCTATCATGTAAGCATGTACACAGACTGTGCTTTAGTATTTTATATTGTGCACATTCTCTTTATTTCATTCCCATGAACTTGAGTATTCTGAGAAACTCAGTATTATTCTATAACACATATATTTTATTATATCTCCTGTTATTTAACAGATCTATCGAATTCAAATAGGAATAATCAGTTTCACACGAATACACTACACTACAGTATTGTACAAACTGAACCTGTACTCCAAGATTATCTATGGTTAATGTAGAATGACTCATTATAGTTCTTAAGTAACACGAAAAGGCCTGCAGAAGTTATTTACCAAAATAATATTCTCGAGTACAATGACTTACTGTACAAGAAAAGTAACCAGAATTAATAGGAAAATGTATCTCACTGCAAAATGGAATTTCTGACTGAGACTGAATTTACAAAAAAATTCCAGATACAATGTAAGTGAAATTACTTTATGTTGACTTGCAACACACATTAAAGAACAGTACATAGAATTGGCAGACGGTACTTGACTTTCTTTCCAAGTAGCCCCACTCCCACCCATCAGTAATTCTGCGGTAAGTATCAAGGCTTATAACACTAACAATCAGGTTTTGATACCCGTGGTAGCAATTACAGTACTGTTGCATTATATTTTCTTCTGATAGTTTGTGTTTATACTATTATCATGTATGTTTTTAATAAATGTTCATAATGATGTGTTTTTAACCTAGGTCTCAGCTTCTAGTAAAGGTAATTAAAACTTGTTTGTACAAAAAGTTCAGCATCTTTCTTAGTACATCTAATTTATCAAAGACAATTACGTGAGAATTCAAAAACAAGTAAAAAGTAGAAAATCTGTTATTTGGTACAGAGGGAATCTTCTAACTTATCAAAACAATAATTTTTATGATGGAGTGGGAAATACTGGTACAGGTTACTACACTTAAGTAACTAGGGGTCAACTCAGAAACTTCACATTCTTTTGGTTTTATTTCACAATAACTACTAGCTTTATTATCCTGTCTCTCGGCATGGTGATGACTTTGTATTTTCTGATGAACTGGAGATAGATCTCCAAAACAAATCCATCGTGGTCCTCACCAATTGCTCGTGTGTGGAAGAAATAGTGGAGTTTACGGCTGTCCTGGGACTACCATGAACTCAATCATAAACTCCTCCCAGATCACCATCCTATTTCTCGAATTTAGGATATGCTAGATAGCTTAAGTAGAAACTGTTGATTTTCAGTAGCTAAACAGGGATAGGATTGCCACTATGGTTTTCTTGGTAAGAAGAGTCTACATTTGATAGCCTTCATAACTTCATTATGTCATTGTGGTGGCAAGGACCACGACGCCTACGAGTGCG